AATAGAAACTGGAAGTAATTTTGAAATGTTAATGCTTTTCATCCTGTGCTCAATACAGCAGAAGTTTGATCCCTGCGTAAAGCAACAGGATTCTTACACAAAAAATAAAGAATTTAAAAAAAAAAAAAAGTCCAACATGCAAATTGACAATACCTCCCTGCTTGTGTCACTCTGTAACACTACAGCTTTTAAACACTTTGTTCACTCTATCCTCATTTTTTCCTTGTTTCTCTCTGGCCATATTTCATGTTAGGCCCATTTCTAGTAGACACACTTCAGAAAAGCTAATTAGGTCAGGCCTCAAATGAGAGAAACCAAAAAACATCTACTTTGAAGATCTCAACAGATTTTGGTTGCCAACTTGTGCCAAGAAGGCTGCAGCTCCAGGCCCACGTCTGGATCTTTGAAGTAATGGACAACTTCACTGGTAAAGAAGTAGGTATGTAGGGATTTAAGCACTTTCTTGTTTGTATGGCAGCTGACAAAGTTCTGAAAGCTTTTAGTGCATACAACCAGGATCTTTGAGAATCTAGTTCTTCAAAACTGATTCCATCAAGCAAAACATCTTAGTATACATTAAACTTAAAAATGTGTTTGCACTTCTCTCACTTCTGTAAGAATTAATGAAAGCTTGAAACATGATAAATACCTTGCTGAAATTAAAAAAAAAATAATCTTAAGAGAACTACTTTAGAAGAAGCAGATCCTAAGGGTCCAGACTCTCTTGTTAAACAACTCTGCTGCAGCTTTTACCTGGTATGAGCACAACCACATTTGCTGGGGGAGAGCACGAAAATGAGACCATTAAAAGCCTCATTCAAGGCCACTTGGAAATTATATTTTTGAAACCACGAAATAAAAACAATGACTTGGCTAGGTAACAAGACTTCTGAATTGTGACATTTTTATAGTTATAATTCCATTCACAAGATGTATTAATCACACCCGATTCCACTGATATGGCTATTAAAGGAGAGGAAAAACCTCAGCAGTTACCATAGCAAAGACACTTCCTTCACTGTTTTTTCCATCCAAGTCACACATAATACAATGAAGTTATTTTTTACCTTAGTCTACACACAGCATTCAACTCTCACATTACCTTCTTTCTCTTTGAGACTTTGTGCATATACACAGCTTCTGCTTCATAACAAGCAAGTTGCAATAAGCAAGCTCTATCTCAAAAGTAGGAACAAACAGAAACCTGAGAAAATGGACTACAAAAGCTTCATTAGAGACAGAAGAAGAAACTGATTTTTGCTATCTGCAATTGCCAGTCTGCATGAGATACTATCAAAGTGCCCTAAAAATTAATTTAAAAACTGGGGAAAATGAGTTAGTTAAGCAAGTACTAAAACTAACACAACTTTTGCTGGAATAATGAAACCATTGTTATCCCTCATCCAGAAGAGCCTCCTAGTGCCTTAAAAAAAAAAATCCCCAACCAAATTAAACCTACTCCCCACAAGACAATATTTTATACAGGAATGCTGACAACCAAAATGCAGCTACTTCTATCAGCTGCTTAACAGCTCAGCATTCAATACATTCTTGTCATGTACACACCCACACACGAAACACCAAGTGGATAAAACAGAAAAAAAACCAAACAAAAACAACCATGGGTAAAATGAGTCAATCCAAACCAAAGGCTGAGCAGACCCCTTTGTATTCTTTGAAGTGATATTTCATTCAGAAAAGGTCACACCAGATTTAGTTATTACACTGATGTCTGCAGGATAACAGTACAGATCAGCAATCATGTTTGATATGAATTGAAGGAAAACCCTGGAGAACCAAGCAGGAGACAACAGAGCTTGCACACCGTAGGACTGTATCAGTGCGGGCAGAAAAACTACAATTATTCTTGCAAACACGAAAATCCATGGGAATTAACAAAAAAACCAAACAAAGCCCAAAGAAATCAAATCCACACCTACTCACACAATATTCTTATTTTAATCCCTTTTTTCCCAGGTCACAACAGCTGAGGCTGTTTTAGACAGTGAAGAGACAGCTCTGCCTGGATAGCCTAGAGATTTCTCTTTATAACTGCTCCCCACTCCATTTCAATGGTGAAGAAAACAGCTATGACTCAAAGCTGTACCTTAAGCTTTAAGAGGAAGCTGACTATTACATTTCTCATCACCCACAACTCTATGAGGTTTAAGACATTTTTCAAGAGACCATTTCCCCTGAGCTACATGAAATTCTATTTGAAAAAAACCCATCCATGCAGCCTTGTGTACACCTTCCTGTAAAGGGAGATCCTCTAGCAATCTGTCTCAAAGAAATTTGCAAACAGTTGCGTTGTTTCAGAAAGGGAGAAGATTTTCATACCACAGGGATCTGATTTTCTTACACAAAGAAAATCACAATTATTTCAAACTTTTTTTTTTTTTAGTACTGAAAAAACAAAATTCCTGGCTCTGATGAATCAAAGCTTGGGCAGTTCTCAAATTCTCTTGTAATAAACAAACTTAGATTCATTTAATGTTTTTGTACTAAGAATAATACTGTGCTCAAACTCCTTTCTCCTGTACCACACTAAGCACTCTGCTTCACAAATCTGAACTGGAACCAGATTCCTGCAGAAATTATACTGCTATCCAAAGCTCAGAGTTATGTTTTCATTAGAGAAGTAGGTGCTTGCCAACCTTGTTAAATGAGACAGTGACACAGCCATCAAGTAAAACAAGTAAGACTGAACACCTGTTCAGTTGCTATTTGTACATTCTTAGCAACCTCTTTTTCTGAGAGTAGAAACAGCACCAAATTGTGGGAAAAAGGCATTAAAACCAACAATACATATGTGCTACAAGACAGAAGGTGGGTTTTGATCTTGTGGTCAAGAAGTTGTTTCAAAAGAGTACTGAACCCAAAGCCTGGTTCAACGGAGGACTGAAGTAAAATGGGGACAGAGGGCAAGTCTCAGTACTCACATGAACCACAACAGCCACTGTGTTTCCTTAGGTATGCGATTGACAGCCACATCACAGACCTTTCACACAAATCAACAGTTAGTTTGCATGCTTGCACTGTACAATTTTAGATGATAATACTTTTAGGAAAAGGGATAGATCTATCATTTACACAAAGAATGAGATGTGAAGAAACTCAAAGGGACAGCTTTTCCAGTCATCATCACCAAAGGAAATACTTTGAGCTCAGTGTCTGATCCACTTGTTATTCTCTGCAAACAGATTGCTTAGCCTTTGGATGAACCAAAAGTGGTCACAAAGTGAACAGACAGACAAAATGCAGAAAGTTTCCTCTTTCCCACTGCAATGTACTCTTAGGAAAAAGATTAATAACTGATTTCAATAAATACCTTAAGATTTACCCCAAGAAGTTCAACACAATCATTACAAACTGACCTGTTCTTGGCCTGGTAACTATTATCTAGGACTAAACATGCCAAGAGCATTTGGGTTTAGCTCCTATTATTAATAAAGCACACACACAGACACAAGTAATTATTTAACTAAACAATAAACATTAATCATCAACTGTTTTAAAAGTATCAGCAAAGAAATTACTGTAGACTTCACAGATGTGGAACAGACAAGGATTCATCCTATCAAACTTCTACAGTTAGCACCAAATACTATTGGGAAGATAAAGATAAGTTTTTACTGGAGAGACATCCACCATGTGCCCAAGTTTCTTTCTACTTAAGTTTCCAAATCCCTTTAGAGTCAGGAGCAATGCCTATCTGTAACAGAAAACAGATTCTAGTGATAGAGCCACAACATACAATTTGTTGGATGCTTTTGTTGCAGTCTAGAGGCTGCAACATGGATCTGCAGGCTGTGCTCATCCTGTCCAACTTTAACAGAATCTTTGATCTCTGCTGACTTCAAGCACTTAACATGTATCCTCACAGTGAAACAGATGATTCAAAGTTGACTTCTGTTCCAGACCTGAAGCAGAGCCTGCGGTCCAAAAGGCAGCCTGTTTCCTTTTAAAATCAACTGATGCTGCTACAGGAAGTAAGAGACAATACTTCCTCTTACAAATGGTCTAGGTATCTTAGGTATCTAGTGACATTTTCAAAAGATTTGAGAAAGTTATCCTGTGTTTTTCCAGGAATTTTTGAAAGCTAAAAGAAAACCAGATTTAGAAAACCAAACTAACAAAAAACCAAACCAAAAAACAAACAAACAAAAACCCCACACCCCGCCACAACAGTGTCAGAGTTAAGACTGGGTTAAATGTGAATTCAGTTTAAATTAAGTGAAGAAGTCTCAGTTCCATCCCTCCTCCTCTCCACACACAGACACTCTCACACTCTCTCCCGAGTAAAGCCAATTAAGTAGGAACTAAACCTTTCTTCCTACCATATCAGTAAAGCAATGGTGCTGCTAGTTCCAGCAAAGCTACCGAATACTCTGCTCATAGACTGTACTGGCCAACAATCAATTAGATCATTCCCGAATTAAAGAAATACCCAGAAGCAATTTTGCGTAAGCATTATTTTCTTTCAAAGTGCAATGGAAATGCATGTTCTGCACTTCCCAGAACTGTAATCTGATTTAAGCATGGGTTTAGTTTTAAAAATCTTTAGCTCTCACCTATAGGCTATTCCAGAACGCTGTGAATCAGCAGATAGTCACTGTTTATTGGAAAGCTTCCTTCTTTAAGTCACCTTTACTTCCTCTCAGTACTCTGCAGAAACTGAGAAAAGAACTACACCATCAGCCTTCGCTATCGGCAACTGTCTAGAACTGTCCAGAATCTAGAACATGAAGTATTCAGGATACAAAAATGAATTTTGGTATATAGACCTCTAATAAATCAAATATTCTACAGACTACAGAAAATTTAAGTAAATAGCAGCCAGATCACAGACAGCTTCTTTCAGGTATTTACAATATACTTAGAATCATGTCACGGGTTTAGGTATGCTTTTTTGCCTTTGTCCTCTTCCAGACACTCCTGGGTTTTAAAGCATCTCAAATAACCAGATGTTTGAAGGAAATCAGACACTACACAGGTTAAACAATATGGTTCTATTAAAAACTATCTTTAACCATGACACTCAGTGACAGCAATACAATACTTTTTTCCACAAAGCAACTAATATAAAAATATGCCATAAAATCATCTGTAGGCTAGTATGCTAGTACGTACATGTAATCATAACATTCTTTTATAAACTCTTTCCTGAGATACCTTGGGTTGTTTGATTTTCTTGTATTACTGGATGCATTATCTTTATGATTCATCTAAAACAATTGTAAAATATTTTGTATGTGCACGACACTCAGTAACATGTAAAAAGTAGTATGTAAATATATGGCAAAGAAACAGCTCAGAAATTTTGCGCTTTTTTACTTTGTTACATTTTTTTAACATTTGGCTCCTTGGGAGATGGAAGGGGGGAGCATGAAAAACCTGAAATTAGAGCTATGAATTGACAAAAAGCAGGAAAGCATTTCAGGAATGTTAGAAGTTGGAATATAATATAAATGACACAAAGAGAAAGCCATAATTCTTGTTGGCTATGTATTGCCTTATAAAGCAACTGGATATATTTTAGTCAGTTCACAGTATAATAAATATTTTTACTAATCTGTTTTGGAAGAGCAAATGTCTTTTAGGGTTTCAAGCTCCTCTATAAGTTTCTTGTTCTGAACTTCTAGCACTGCAACACGACTCTCCAGACATTTTATGTATTCTTTCTTCCGACGTCGACATTCTTTAGCAGCTTCCCTGCAAAAAGCAGAAGTAAAAAGTGCAAACAAAAAAGCCATTTGCATGCCATTAGAAAGCTCAGCAGAGTATGGAGACTATGATAGAATTCCAAATTTTGGAATATCTCCCAAACCAGTCTGAAAACACTTAAGCAAAACTGGGTTCCACAAGGGCCTCAAGTGTCTCTCTCTCAAGTTCATATGGCAATCTGTAGAATTGCTTCCTCTCATGCCTTGATTAAAGTTCATAATAAACAAGGTCCAAATGAAAGATAGTTATTCTGCTTTATGACAATAAAGATCTTTGAGGGCCTTGAGTTCCTCAATGAGAGTCTTGTTTTGGTTTTCAAGCACAGCCACACGATTTTCAAGACATTTGACATATTCTTTCTTCTTTCTGCGACATTCTCTGGCAGCTTCCCTGGAACCAATACAAGGCAAATGACTACAGGAACAGCCACAATATGGCAAAGACTGGATAAATGAAATTACCTGCAATCCCTGCAGTTCCACAATAACAACAACAACAACCACCACCAACTGTTGGATTGCACAAACAGAACAGCAGATAACAGCTATAAGCAATAACATGGTTAAAATACAGTTCAAAACAACTAGAGCTTGAAACAAATTCAGCATCAACAAATACAAAGATGGAATTAATACACAGAGGACCTGAGAAAAACAGTGAGCAAATGACAATGTATTGACTTGAGCTGTACTAAACATTCAGACTGAAAGCAGCATTTCTTCTTCCAGTCACATTCCATTTTGTGTGTTTATCAGGAGTATTATCTTCTGCAATCAAAATCTTAAAACCAAACCCAAAGAATTTACTTTCAAAAAATACAAACATAACACTATGTTTAGCTTTTATCTCTTCAGATAAAAAGCTAGATGCCAAGCTTACAACCCACTGTAATTTTTTTACCTTAATGTGACAATCCACAGTAAAATTTAAATCCAAACAAATACAATTTATTAGCATTTTAGAACTGTCCACCTCGGCACATTTCAGCCACGTGCATCCGGGTATTTTTTGTGGCTGGCAAATGGCAGTCTGAAACCATTCTCATAGCTGTGCTCAGAACTCTGTTATATTAAAGCTAAACACTTTGGGTAGTATTTTCAGAAGCATGTGACTGAACAAGCATTCAGTTCCAGAAGACATTTTAGAAGTACTGGGAGTCCATTCCTTTAACATCTTGGAACATGATAATTGTCAAATTGTGAGGGTGTAACTTTCCAGCAAGTTATATGAGAGATAGCAGAGATGCTAGTTTTAAAACTGAAAAGAGGAGAAACAAAAGGAAGCATAATGCAGCGATCCTTGCAAGCAATTTAAAATAAAGGACAGGCATGAGAGCAAGCAATACCATGAATTCAATCATAAGGCAAGTGGTTATTCAATGTATTAGAGATCTGCATAGCAGACTACTACTTCTATTAATCTACATGCCATTGATAGCGGTGGCTACATATTCAAAAAAAGAAAGAGTCTCCTAAGAATAGCAAGAAGAATGCACAGAGAAAGACTGGCATTTACAGCATACAGTCAAGTCCATGCCAACTGCTTAAAAATTATACAGCCACCTCAGACAATATGCCTCACAAAATGACAGGGGCACTGCACAATAACTTATCCCAGTAGCCAAGTTAGGAATTAGGAAAGTCTATAATTATCATTCCATCCTAGAATAAGTCCTCTTCACAGCATCATTAATGGACAGCTGCTAATGAGGTCCTCAGATATTTTCCTAACCAATTCTTTGCTGGGATGTTTCAAGATGAACAAATCCATACTGGCCATTTTACTGTCAGTAGGGGGGGAAAAAAAAGATTCAACAGTAAGTATATCTACAGATCATCGTAAAAATTATCAAAAAGGAACAACACTAATACTAATTTCTGAATTAGCATAATATTTTAGAACTAAAAATCCATGATGATAAGGTCAACTCTAACTTTCCAGAGTTACCAGCCACTAGTCAACGCTATAAGGATGCGGGAAGACTGACAAAGGATTTCTTGCCTTCCCTTCATCAATCACAGGCAGTGCTCACAACCTTAAGAAGAAAACATCATTAGAATGTTGGGGGGGTGGGGTTGCAACACTGACTAGTAATTGTTTTACAGTCTTACCTATTTTTCATAAGTCTCAGCTCTCTCTTGCGTGTTGCCTCTTCTGCCAGTTGCTGAGGGCTATGCAAAGTCCCCGGTGAGGCTGCCATTACCACTCCCTGAGGTAAGGTACTGGTGGGAGTTCGAATCTGGTAAGCTGGCATGTCTCCAGTGGCAGCTGTATAAAAGAATCATATTTTAAACTTTATGGCAGAAAGAACTATGCAAAAGTCTCTCTGGAAATAACAGATTTCCATTGATGAGTTATCCAGGATCCCTGCTACATAAAGTATTTCACAGGCCTGTAATGTCACAACTACATGTTATCCTACTAGAGTTTATTTCCATGCTGTAAAATAAGTTATCTAAATTGCTCCAGCATGTGGCCCCACTAGCCAGCCAGACTGAACCCTGTGAAAGCTTCCACATGTTTTTTTTTTTCAGACAAGATAGGGAAAGCTGTTTGAGAAACACTGTCAGAACATCCACACTTATTTCCTGTTTGCACAACCCCACGAAAAGATGGTCCTGCTGTTGCAGCCACTGAGGTTTATATGCTACCCCATTCTCTAACAGAGGTTTAAGGAGTCAACTTGCTTCAGAAGTCAACTTTCTCTTCCTTCCCTGTCACAACAAGGCAGGGCCTTGTACTGGCCTTATTGCCTCTCCTCCCTTTACAGCAGCAGTTTGGCAACCCTTGGAAAATCAGTGAGAGCTGCTGTTGCCAACATGAAAAGGAACAGACAAGTGCTCATGGTGAAAAGGAGTATGTTCCTTGAGCAAGTGGACCACAAATAGGATTCTGCAGCACTAGTGGGCAAGAGGAGGCAGTGACAGTTGCACAGGAAGGGGTGTAGCCACACAGTAAACCGGAGTGCAAAAGTTCAGATTCAGCTCCTGAGCCTACCTGTTTTGAGCTCTCCCCAAGCTAAACGCAGATCTGAAATCTGACATGTTATTTGGAACCAATACCTCTCTGATAGGCTTAACTTGTTTCTATATTTCTGAGGTAGTTTATTCCTACATGAGGTACCCCAACTTTAGAACACTGTGAAAGTCCTAAGTACTTGTGTCTCGTCTGACATCGAAAATAATCAAACAAAAAATATATCCCTCTTCAAATTATAAGCAAGTATTTACCTATTCTTTTCCATCAATATTTTATATTATCACAGAATGAAACTTCAAATTTTGTCATTAAAGCAAGTGAATATAAAAGATGAAATTTAAGGGGCTGTTATGTTATACTTAATTTATACTTTAATTCTTTAAAGCAATATTCAAACAATGGAAAAATTCAACCTGATGAAATAAAATGCAGACAAAAACACTTTGGGGAGACTGATGGGTAAAGCAGTAAAGAGATATCAGTCAACTACAGGGGGAAAAAAACCCAAACTTAATAAAAAATTACTATTATTCTTACTAAGTTCATGCAGGTGCTTCACTAATTAAATACAAAAAATAGGATCAAGCTGTGTTTAGACTACTGTTCCAGAGTTGTGTCCTGAAATCATTATCAGCTTAAACACTGTGCACCTCCCCCTCTCTCGGTCCTGCGGGTAAAAGTGTTTGTGGAATTACAAGATGAACTGAACCAGTGAACTGACCTGGGTTACAGATAATCCCCTGGGCATGGGGGAGGGAGAGAGAAATCAGCCCAGAACAGCCCTGGGAGCCCACTAACAGGCAGCCGCCATGAACACAGGGCTTGGTCATCTTGCATATCTACAAGAGAATTACTTAACCCTTTATGTTCTCCACATCTCTTAGCAGTCCCAGTTACGTTAATGAGACGATACTTCAGCTCACTATTTATAAAAATGGAATTTTAGAAACTCTTCAGGCTCATCTTTATGCTGGCCAGATTTTATAGGCTCTGTGGTAAGAGCTACCTTTTTCTCTCTCTCATCGCTAGGTAAAAAAAAGAGATGTTATCTTAGTTTGCATTAGCTACAAAGAATTAGAAACCCAAGCGAACCACTTTGTGGAGGAAGTCATGGGGAAAGGCCCATAACCAAGGTCACCTCAGCCTGACAAGACCAACTACTTTGTTGCCTTTGTCTGATTTACACTCCTACGTTTAGCTAACAGGACTTACTGCTGCTGCTAAGAGGACTCAGTGTGATAATGTACCTGCAACAGGGCTTAACAAAAGTGAGTCGTTATCTGGGATCAGCAAACACCACTGTAAGTAACAACATGTTGCATGAATAGTTTGACCAGGTTCCAGTAGTGTCTGTCCCTCCCTAACAGATGGCTCACTTATAAACCTACCAGCCTGGTAACAGAGATAAATAACCATTTTGGTGGTATGGAACTTGTAAACCCCCACACGGCAGTCTTTAAAAAAAAAAAAAAAAAAAAAAAAAAAAAGCACAGCATTGACAAAGTATCTTTCAGTTGTGCAATAATATGTGCTTTATGATACATTCTTGCAAATCAATTATTTCAAAGTCTGTAAAAATTTTTGTATAATATCTCAAAAAGTTACAATAAAATACTGTTTCTCCCGAAGAAGACATTGGGAAAGATGAAGCAGGCTTTAAGCAGGGGGGATAAAACACCCTTGAAAAAAAAATCATGGTTTAAGTCTAACAATGTATCTATACATATTACAGTAAAGGGTCCCTTCCATTTCAGCGTCTGAGACAAAAAACACCCTGATCCAGACCGATAAACCTTTGTGGCCACTTCTAATGAAACGCCATAAAGATATAAAGTCACTCCTAACATATCGGATCTAGGACTGAGACTGTTAACAAAGCAACAAACCAGAAGACAGTGTATTTCCTTAACACACTGCTGCAGGGGGTTTTGGGTTGTTTTTTTTTACCTCCTTAAAATTGCAAGAGAGTAAAAAGTCACTGAAAACCTGAAGCTCTGAGTGGAGACTTACAAAAAGGAAATTATTAACAGGAAGATGAACAAACAAATGAAAAAACAACCAAAAAAGCAAACCATATTTGGCAGAGTCCAACTAACCTTGTAAATTAAACTCTGAGAAATTAAAAAACAAACAAACAAAACCCCACAAAAATCAACCACCTTGTATCAGAAGGTTCTTGGAAAAAGTAACTTGCTGAACACTAGAGAGCATCCCTGCACTTGAGTTCTTTCAGTGACTATCCAGGAGAAAAAAAGCCCAATGCAAGCTATGTATTAGTACGTCTGTTCTCCCCTTCTGTGAGTCATTATGATGGGACTCGATTATCAAAGGGTTTTTAACTTCACCACTAAACTGGCTAAGCAAGGCATGAATCATTCATTAATTCTTGGAGTGTAAGAAAAAAAAAAACCAAAAAAAATCACCGTGGACTTGGAGAAGATACTTATCTTTGCATTAATGAAACAACATGCACCAGCAATGAGCAGCAGCACGTAGGTACCGGCTGCGAACTGGTTAACATCACAGATCTGCCGGAGGCAACTGACAAAGCAGAAAGGAACTGACTAAATCGCAGCATGACTTGGAGCTGACGTCAATGTGTATCTTGTTTGGAGTTTAACTTTTCCAGTTCCCTACTGCAACACGATTCCAGGAAATCTAATGACGTCAGCCTTTTGAACTCAATTAGCTGAGGAACAGACCATTTTAACAGTGGAGGAGAAAACAAGCAGGCATTACAATACTTAAAATTATTGCTCTCTCAAATGTGTTTGCATTCAGTATTTTCTTTAATAATGAAAGCATAGGTTTTATTTACACTACTGAAACAATGCACACCTTTCTCTTACAGCTATGCTTAAGCTTATTTTAGCTATCAAATCGGAAGTGTTTATTGCTAAACAAAAAAGCAGTGTCATTTTTACAAAATAAAGAACAATTATAAACATAGTAACATATATGACTCTCTCCACAATAAAGAAGAATTTAAAAGAAGAGTGGTGGATTTTTCAGCAAAATCCTGCATCAAATAGTAAGGATTAGTTATCTGAATCAATCTGTGCAAGAACTCATGCACTAACTGATTTTTTTCCCCCTAAACGAAACTGTTAAATTACCCTGAAATCCTACACTGACTAGATATAATCAGAAGCTATTTGTACCAGTTTCGAAAGACGAAAGAGTTACAGCAACAGGTTCAAAAGAAAATGTCACAAATAATACCCACTAAGCACTGCTTAGATACCCAAAAATACCATGTAAAAGGCTAACAAAATTTTTACCTGTTTCATCTCCTGTTACAGCCATGATCAGCTTCTGCACACACGATTCTCCTGTTCCTCTACCAGAGCTCAGCATGAACTGTTCCAAACTAGCAAGCATGTGCAGGATTACAAGCAAGAGCACTGACATCACAGTGACCTCACTTGCTTACCACTATCATTAATATGCTCTGTCACTGGAACAGCTCACTGAAACTGCAGCCCAAAGAATTCCTTTTCCAGTAAACCTTTTTTTTTTTTTCCTTCCTCTTCCATATTTCTATAAGCCTAGCTTTGTTCTTTTTCCTTGAATTATTCATAAAGCTACAGAAAGCACTCACCAGAAAGCAGGCTGTGAAGCAAGATCTGAAAATTCACAGCATCGATTGACAGAAATTAAAATGTGGCTCTAGAATTCATGAGTTAATCAGAATGATACAGTTATGATTGGATAGAAAATAGGGAGATTTTTTAAAAAGACGTGCAATTGTTTTGATTGGAGCAGTTCCACTAAATGGCAGAGAACTCTGTTGAACAGACATGTAAGACAGGAAAGCTTAATAAGCTGTAACAAATAGATAAATGAAAGGCTAAATCTTCTTGCAGTGAGGGGTAACCCACAACACACTCATTTAATTTCAGTTAAAAGCTTCAGAAAAGATTGAAGAAAGCTCGAACAAAGTAAGTCAAACTAAAGCTAGCCATTTCAGATGCTGTAACAGGCAGAACAGTAACTCTGGGTAAGGGCTAACTCTTCTCCCCCGTTCCCTCCTTTTTCAAACAAAGTCCAAGAGATCTGGTTGACTTAGTTTGAAGAAAAAAAAAACAAAAAAAAAAAAAGTCTTGGCTCTAACTGAATTACTCCTTATTTACATTGATTTAAATGAAATTAATTTCAGACCTGCCCAGGCACTGGGCTGTATGTAGGGCATAGCAAACTTCTAAGGCCTTTGTCTGTAATAAATTCAGACTGGTAATTCATCAACTGTGAAACTATGCCGAGGACAGCAATAATGGAAGCATCAATGCAAAAAAGGAGCACCCTGTGATTACGGGACCACTTCAGGATCATATGAACAGAAGATCAGAACTGAAGCATGCAAGAAATTCAAGCCACACATATCAAATATCACTGACCATATTATGAAAACACAGATAGATCCCAACAGACTGATTTTTGATGCAACTTTTCTACACTCATTTTCACTAATAATTAAATATTTTCTTTTGCTTCAGCTAGCACACCACCACCCCCCTTGCCCCCCGCCCCGTAACCTCTATTAGGAAACTGTCAGGACATCAGAACTGCCTCTTATTTTGCCTATGAATGTAAACATGTAGCAAATGAAATATCACTCAGTTGGATCAACACCTCTGGCGCTTTCATACTAATCTCTTTTCCCCATCACATGTTATCAGAAAGTATCAAGCACAGGGTTTATGTGATGCCATCCATTATTACGTGAGATTCATCAACAAAAAATATAAACACATATGC